CACTCTTAACCATGGAAAATGATAATTCATATAAATGCATAATATTAAAGGTGATTTTGAAGTTTGGCCTGATGACAAAAACACCAATTATCTATCAACATTTCGAAATGCACCCAATGCAACTTACAAACATCCCCTTTTATCTTAATTTCAGATAAGTACCTCTTTGTTGTTTTGTTGCAATTTGCAAAACAGAAACAAATGTAGTGCTATAATTTAAAAACCTCAAACTAGGTAAGAAAATTACCAGTGAACCCTGATCCCGGGTACTAATGTCACCAGCCCAAGGCCCATATTCGTCAAATATTGTATTGAGAACTGCCGTGCCTCGAGACACAGTTAGAATAGAATTTCTCAACCCAAGAAGTCCTCGAGTTGGTATCTTATATTTCATTAAAGTCGTGCCTTCAGACCTAATAATATCAATTCAACATTTGGTTTTGCAGACGTAAGAATAAGAAATTTCTAATCCAATAAGTAGTTCTCATAGCTCAAAGAGGGGTATATATGTCATACCCAGCTCCTTGCATATCAGTCATATGCCCACGCCTTTTACCAAGAAGTTCCACAACAGACCCCACGTATTCCTCTGGTACCTCGACCAAAGCAATCTGTAAATAAAATGCATTTATTTATTTACTCTTGATTTATTCCCCCACATGATTCGGTGACATAGTGACATTTTACTTAGAAAGGAAAAAAAAAAAAACAATCACTTCGTATGGTTCGAGCAACTTGTCATTAACGGTTTTGTTGATGACTTTGGGTGGCCCCACCATGAACTCATATCCTTCTCTACGCCTGCGAAAAAAGTTATCCACATTATAAGAAATGCTAAAGGAAGTAAAGAACTTATTAAAAATGTGGAACAAAACCTTACATATTTTCTATTAATATAGTGATATGCAGAGTGCCACGTCCACTAACGATAAATGTATCCGAAGTTTCACCTTCTTCAACTTTCATTGCCAAATTTCGCTCAAGCTCACGAAAGAGCCGATCTCGAAGGTTTCTACTTGTGACATACTTACCCTTAAAGAAAACGAGAAAAACAGTTTTCAGTTGGGGTGAAAAATCGTAAGAATAAGCATTAAAGACAAAGTTAAAAATGTAAAAGAGTGTTAATGCAAAAGAGTACTCTTGAGGCAGGATGAGTGGCCGAAGAAGATATTTGAGTTATATTTTTTGCATAGACCAATTCAAAAAGGCAGATTATGTTCAAAGATTTATAAGCAATCATCGTTTTCCATTCATGACGATTTGCATATGTACCTCACGCCCCACAAAAGGTGAAGTGTTGATTGAGAAGGCCATTCTCACGGTAGGCTCTTCGATTTTTATGGATGGTAATGGCTTTCCCGAAACTTTGTCTGCAATTGTCTCTCCAATCTGGATTGCACATATATAATTGCTATTATTATTAAAAATATGCGTAATTATTAATAGCAAGATGTAAAATTATGTAAAAAAAAAATGTCACCAATGAGTGCAACCATACGATGCTTTAATTTTTACCTGAATATCGTTAATACCACATACAGCACAAATATCACCAGCCTCTACTATTTCTGCAGGGACTCTATTGAACTTCTCGTACACAAAAAGTTCGCTTACTTTACCAAATCTGCATTCATCTTCAGAGGAGCAAATCTGAAAGAAACAAAGATGAATGTTATTTATATCTTTGTTAAGGGTATAAGTATAAACTCAGTACAGCTGATGGTGAGAATTTTCAATATTTTCATTTTTCAAGTCCAATTTAATTTGAAAAGGCGATAACCAATTTTACAATATCTCAACAGAACTGGCATGCTTGAAAGCTTTCAATGTTCTATTCGTAAAATATAGATTTTAAAAATTAATGTTTCATGAGAAAGTTCAAATCTATTGGACATCAAGACATCATTGGGCCTACCCGCACATCAATTCCTTTGCACAATACCCCCGCATGCAGACGTCCAATAGCAATCCGCCCTTTATGTTCGTCATATTCTATATTTGTGGCCTACCAAAGTTTCAAATGTAATTAAGTATAACATATAGCAAAGGGAAAAAAATTCCATGCTTCCTTTATCGAAAAATCATAAAACATTTGAACCACCACTAACAAGCATTTGAAGAGAACCGTCTTTGGCGATCTGTGGCCCAGGTATGCATCTGACGATGGACTCAAAAAGTGGTCCAAGATCATCAGCCAAATTTTCAGGTGAAAGTCCTGCTTTTCCTTTGATGCCACTTGCATATATAACTTGGAAATCACACTGCAGCAAGAAGTAACAAAGAAGTAAAAAAAACTCTAAGAGCATCTCTAATGGGGCTTTTGACATTATAAAAAATCATCCATATCATCAACATTTGAAAGTGTTACTAAATTGTTCTCCAATGCATCTTGTCATGAGCTCTTTCATGATGATGTGGATAGCATTTAATGTTGACAATGTTGAACACACTTTCTAATATCTAACACCATGTTAAACATTGTGACTAATCAATTCACTTTATATTTGATTTAATTCTTTATTATTTTTGTATTAATAATTATTTGAATTGGTCCACCTATACAAATAACTTCTTATCAAATTGATGCATTGGAGATACTAATTTGATTCAAATTTCTACACTTTTAACATTATTCCTACATGGATTAACATTACAATCATTGATTGACATGTGTTAAAAATTATTGTCTTTCAAAGTTATAGCATTGGAGATGCTCTAAAGTTTTGCAAAAAGTTGTGTTCAAAATTTAAATTAAAACCACAATCTGAAATTCCAGCAGAGTTCTTCAAATGAAAATGCATTGGCTTTAGTATGCCTTGATTTTCATGATATGGCTTTAGTATGCCTTGATTTTCATGATATACTACAGCTTTTTATGCATTTCCGGTATAATCATATGTATTAGAAATCTACTCAATATAGTATCAAGAATGACAGTGAATCATTATATAAAAATAGGTTTGCATAGATATCCACACCGAGAAATAGGATTAAAACAAAGCACCTGTTCATCTGAAGCATCTAGTTCAATGAACAACTCAAAAGTCGAATTGATGACATAATCTGGACGAGCAGAAGGTCTATCAATTTTATTGACGACAACAACCACAGCATGGCCAAATTCAAGAGCTTTCTTCAGAACAAATCTCGTTTGTGGCATTGGCCCCTCAACAGAATCTACCTACAACTCATAGCCACATATGTTCGTCAGGAACATAATCTAATCAGATTTTTATTTTATTTTATTTTTTAAAAAAAGAAGTTTTTCACTCTTCTGAAACGAATCAGAGTAAGTACCACTAAAAGAACTCCTTCGACCATGTTCAGAATCCGTTCCACTTCACCACCAAAGTCAGAATGGCCTGGAGTATCAATGATATTGATTTTCGTATCATTATATGTAATAGAAGTATTTTTGCTAAGTATTGTTATTCCCCTTTCACGCTCTAGATCATTTGAGTCCATTATCCTCTCCTGTACAAACTGGTTGTCACGAAATACCTGTACAACAATCCAGACCAAAATATTGTTTCACCTTAACTATAAAAAAAAGGGTCACAAATAAGCAAAACTACAAAAAGAATTTCAAAGTTTCAGGTTAAGAAAGTTCAAAAACAGCCGTTTGCATTTTATGTAATCATTTGCATCTTTAATCACTAAAGGAAACTCTTCATTCAAATCCCAACAATACATACCTTAGCTTGCCTCAGCATAGCATCAACCAAAGTGGTTTTCCCATGATCTACATGTGCGACAATCGCTATATTCCGAATGTCATCTCTCCTTATCAATTGACTCTTTTTCTCTGACGTAATTGTTCGCCGCAATAAAATGCAAGACGTTAATATAGAAAAACGAATAACTCATGCTAAGAACATGCTTTTAGCACCGCAGGTATTAGCATACATTTTGTCGACTGAGCTGCACAAAACTGTTGGACACATGAAGCAGATTCAAGCATGAATGCCAAAACAACAGGTGGAAATTACATATCTACGCATCGAGCAAGTTTAAAAGTAAGAACCTCGGGCAACATGACCTCTCCTTTGGAAACTCTATACACACATGTTTACAGGGAATATGTGAAAGCTGCCATGGAGAGGTTCAATAGTTTGAGTGCTCCCTACAAAGTTACCTTTTTTCCATATAAAAACTAGAAAAGAACAACAAATATATATTTCCAACCATACAATTCACAGATGGTATCAAACCACACATAGACAAAGCAAGGATAAAAGAAAACCAACAGTACACACAAGCACGCAGACTCAACCTGCTGACACAAGTGACAACCAAATAACATCGCTTGGAAAAAGAACACGAATAATCAAGATATTCAGGCAGTTGGGTCACAACTGACAAGTGCTCAACAACAGATTACCTGTGGTGTTGTCTGTGGCTTGCGAAACAGAGCATTTGAAAGAACTCCGAAAAGGGGTTTTCAAAATCTTTCCTTTCGACTCGATAGATAAAGTATTGCCAAAAAATTGTCTTTTCATCCAAGAATTGCTGCAAATGGAGTTTCTCGTGGTGGGCTCAAAACTTCTCGATGATAAAGGGAGGGTTTTGGGGGCGACCCTCGAAATGGGGTGTGAGCCAATAGCCATATCCATTGCTTTTTCTAGCTCACTTTCTCTCACTTGGCTGCTGATTTTGAGAGAGAGGGGCTGTGAGAGAGGGTAATGGAGGATTGGATTCACTGGGTAGGAGAGCTTAAAAAAGTGAGAGGCTGTTATGTTCTTGAAAAAGCGTCTTCGTCGCCAACTAGAGAAGAGTTGAGGCTGCTGTTTATTTGGAATTTGGATGTATTTTCTTGCTTTTTGGGATTAGGATGGAAACGAGTCGAGACGAGCTCGAGCTACATGATTTAGAAGGTAAATGAGTTGAGTCGAGCTCGAGCTGGATTCCTTAATGAGCCAAGTTTGATTTGGCTCGTTAACTTAACGTGCTCATTAACGAGCTCAAGTTTGGCTCTTACCGAAGTATAAAAAATGCATAAAGATCATTTTTTTTTTGAGCCGAGCTATGCTCACGAACGACTATTTTAAGCTATTTGGGATGTGACGAAAATTATACAAGAAAATAAAAAAAAAAAAAAAAAAAATAGCATTTGTTTTCCCTTGGGCAAAAGTTTTTAATAATGGTTCATTTTTTGGGTACAACTAAACTAAGTAGAGTCGTTAAACGAGTCACTCGTGAGTTCGGCTAAACTTGTTAAGGCTCAAACTCGGGTCAACTCGTTTATCCAAGCTCGTCTAGTTAAAGAGTCAAGCTCGACTCGTTTTTGCTCGAAAAGTTTGTCACTCTATAGTTTGACTAGTTAACATTGAATCGAGCTTGCGCTCATTAATCAACTTAGCTCGGCTTGATAAAAGATTGAGCTCGAAAGCAATTCATTTATTCCTCTCGAACTACAACACGTCGACATTGGATTGGATACACATTTTTCTAATTTTTGTCTCGCGGAACAAATTTTCTCAAGTTATACGAATGATAGTTTATAAAAAAAAAAAAAGCAACTGCTTTAGTTCTTTTAGCCATTGAATAATGTACAGTAAATATTGTCATTTGGAGGGTTAGCACTTAGCAAAATTAGACAATGTTGTGAAAGTCAGTATAAGGACCTTAGTTTTTTTCATATGTATTCATCGATCATCACAATCTGTCGAAAAAACAGAACCACAGATACTAAAAATCGACCCAATTCAAGAAAAATGAACAAAGAAACTGACTAGTGTTTTTTGTCCAAGGCACACACGCGAACTTAATATGCAACGAAGTTAGAAACTACAGCAGCGAAGGCTCAGACTCGGGCAATCGGGCTTTTCAGACACGGGCATGTGAACAGGGCTGCCGATCCAGTCGAGCCCCAATCTGCATACAAAATGTAATTAAGCATTTATAGAACATATAGATGGCTATCACAATCCCACATTCAAATAATTTTCATTTCTATTCTTTCATTTGTTTCGAAAACACAAAAAATAATACACTTACACTGGAAATGCAAAAGAGCTTGTACTGGTAGTATCTGAAAGATTAGAGTCACAAGATTCAAAAGAATCCATTTTGCTTGCACTATTTGGCTGCTCGATAGAATCGATCTCCTTTACTTCATTACCGTTGGGTTGCCCTTCGATTCCCTTCTCCACGCGCACTTTTTCGTCGCCCTGCGTAAATATAAAACAAACCAATAACAAAAAAGATCAAATGTATACATGGATCAACTATTGTGTCACCAATTTTTTATTTTTTTTTTTAAATTTATCACTAACCTTTTTCCTATTTATCATAGGCCTTAAAGTAGTAGTTGCAATAATGTCTACATGCTCATGATCATCATCATCAATCTCATCCTCATAGTTGTATTTTTTGTAATTGCCCTCGTTTATCATGTCGATTTCACCATCCTCCCTGAAGCAGAAGACAATGTAGTCTTCCTCCGCGAATCTCGGCTCAGGCTCGTTTCTACTCGTGCCTCGGTGGAAATCGCAACCGCCCATCGGGCAACCATCTTTATTATTCGGCATTTTCTTCACCGCGGGCAAAACCTTGCGGTCCCCACCCGAACCCTTCGGAGCTTCTCTTCCCCGGGACGAAAATCGAGCGCGTGAGCTTTCGGGTTCCTCCTCTAGTAGAACGTGACGAGTTTTGTTGATTAAGTCAAAATCACACATGATGTAAGACTAGCACTTTTTTTTTTTTGAATAATAAGAAAAATGGTAAAATACCTAAAGGTAATCGACACGCGTAGAAACACGAAGCCAAGTCTCTCACTCGACAACGGACTAGCCTCGGGCACGGCGAGCTCATTCTCGAAAAAAAAGAACTCCGGCTGAGTGTGAGAAAAGTGGTTGATAGGAGGAGGAGATTAGAGAGAGGGAATGTGGAAAATTTGAATTTTGTGTAATAAGGAAAGGATGTTAAGGTTGATTTTAAAGGGATTGAGAGAAAGGGAGTTACAACGTACATGATCATGGGGGAGAGTAGTTATTGAGTTTTGAGGTTTAGTTATATATAGAAATGGGAGGTTTGAAGAGGTAACTATAATTATGAAGGCAAATTTCAAAAAAAAATTACCGTTTTCATAATTAAAATAATTAATATTTTCAAGCAAATATGTTGTTTTTTTAGTATCAAAATTATATAATGTTGTCTCTTTTCTTTTTTTTTTTTACTCCTCTTTTATGATCGATGTAGCATATAATGGGCCCCTTGAGGATTACCAACTACAGATGTTTTTGGGTCAAGACAATAAAGATATAAAAGCCCAATGGTAGACCTCTTGAATTGACCGATCTTAAACCAAGGTTTCGAAAAACCTTCCCCACATATTTGGAGTTAATAGCTGTTAAACGAAACGAGTCGGCTCGTCTATGCTTGTTTTGTTAGAGTTTTAATTAAGCGTTTTCACATAATTTTTTTAGCTTTAAAATATAACTCGGTTTGTTGAGGTTTGAGTTTGACTTTGTTTTGTTTACAACTCTACTTTAGGGTATGTGCAATATATATGGATGACCTTTAGAGCATCTCCAATGATGGATGTGAATTGGAGTCTACAAGACAATTTAATAGAAGGCTTTCTTCTCACGTGGATTGAAGGGACTAAACCTCTCTCCAATGGTTAATATCGTACATAGTAAATATATGTACAGGTTTGGCGGTTGAAGCATTTTTCTTAACCTAATTATATATTTTAATTAAAGATAAAAGAAATAAATAAAGAGAAAAACATGAGTCATCAAATCTAGAAGTACAGTCACATGTAGAAAGACTTATAGAATTATTTTGTCTCTCTCATGACACATCATCACCAATAGAAATACAAAAACTATTGCTGGATAAGTTTTTTTAGAGCATCTTCAATAGTATTTCCATTACTCCAATTTATTGCCACATGGCATAAATAATTTTATTTGGTTTGAAAAAATTCTAGAAGACTTTCTAGATGTAGAAACACTTCTAGACAACTTCTATTGTTTATTAAATTATTTATTCAATTTATTTATCTTTTTCAACCAATTAAAATTTTACACGTCACGAGCGGAACCACATTTAACATTGACCATTGGAGACGTAATTTTTTTATTTTCATTCTCCATGCCATGCAACATAAAATGAACAATTTCTATTGGAGACCACTTCTACAATCTCACAAAACAAACTCTTAAGCCTCTAAGTGGAAGAACTAGATATTCAAAAATCCCGTTCGCATATTCAAACGAACTCTAAAAATTTTCATGTTTGCATCTTAAGCCTCAAGACAAAACAACTAATTTTATAAAATTTTATTCGGCATTTTATTGCATTTATATCAAAAACTCAAAAAACCGAATTCAACCTCGAAAAATCTTAAAATATTCAATAATCACTCAAATCATCAAATTCTCGATTATATAATATGTCAATAATCAAAACTAAGCCAATTTAATCGAGTCAAGCAAAAATACCTTAAATCGACTCAAATCGGAGATCAAAAGTGGAGAGAGCTAGAGAAAATGGATCGGGGCAGCAAAACCGGGTCGGTGTTGCTCAAACGGGGCGAACCGGAGTGGATATGGAGCAAGCCAACTCTGCCCGAGTTGGGGCGAGTTGGACGAGTCACACAGTGAGTCGCATATCCAGGCGGGTCGGGCGGGTGACCGAGTCGCTGGGGCTGGTTCGCGCTCGTGAAGGCTCGGGCTTGAAGTTGCCGGTGCTGGTCGCGGTGAGGAGTTGTTTTCCGGCGTGAACTCGCCGGAATCGGGCCGACGCGAGGCTGCTCGATGGTGGTCGCCGTACGGACGCGGGGGTGCTGCAGGATGGACGCCAGCGTGAACAGGGTGTGAACGGGACCTGGGTCGTGAAGGCGAGCTGGACTGAGGTGGTGACGGCCTGAACGGAGCAGGGAACGTCGCGTAGGTGCGGCTCGCCGTGAAGAACTCGGCTGGAACGACGGTGGTAGCGGGTGGCTCGCGAACGGACGGAGGTGCGCGGACTGAGGCTTGGCCTGGGCGCGAACCGGAGTTGGGAGGCGCGGATTAACTTGCCGGCCGTAGAAGTCGACGTGGGAAGCTCGCGGGGGGCTAGGGTCGTCGGAAATAGGTGGATTTTGGCCGGATTTTGAGAGAAACTGGCTATGGATCTTGAGATGGGAGGTAGATGACTATGACTAATAGTGTAGTGATGGTGTTGGGCTAGGTTTGGAGATAGTGGGATGTTTTATTTATAGCCAAGAGGAAACTAGGGTTTTTGTTTTTTCTTGGGCCTAAAAAATTGGGCTTATAAAATTCTTACAATAGGACTAGTAAAATTAAATCTACTTCGGCTCGGTCTAATTGACGTTGACTTATGAATCAAATGCTCGGCTAATAAAATTAATCGGACTTGTAATAATTAAATTAGTCAGTCGAATTTTTCTAGAATAATTGGGGCTCAAATTTAAAAATCGACTATAGATTCGATTTTTAAAATAGACTAAAATAAAATCGAACATGTGTTCGATTAACTTAAATGAGCTGGAATAAAATAATTAGACTCGCTCGAAAATGATTAGGCTCGAATAAATTAATTATTCGGTTTAGGTCCGCTTAAATAAAATTCCAATTAATCCAAGGCTCGATTTTTAAATATAACTGTTACTTGGGCTTAATAAATCCGACTTTCATCATTGAAATCGAATAAATTCTCCATAACTTAGACTTTAAACAAATTACTCAATTTCACGCAAATAATAATAAATGCATCAAATTATGAAACTTAATATTTATAAAAATGAAGTCGAGCTCTATAAATAGTAAATAATATTCTGGACGTTACATAAATACATTGCAAAGATAAGTCATCAACAGCTGAAAACCTAAAAACTCACAACAATGAAAGTACTCAAACCATAAACACACCCACCAAAAATATCAGTATCAATCACAAAACATAGAAGTTTGAGGCTCGTTTCCCCATGATACGGGCGCGAACCCATCGTCCCTCGTCTCAGATATTAAGTACTTAAGGGTTTCCACATGGGCCGACAGTGCCGCCACGTGGACTGGGAAACTACCCGTGTTATTGGGCACACACAGCAAATCGGGCTTCCACCATGTACCACGCAAGGATCCTGGCAGCAGCCGTGTTTTCGGACAGAGACGCTACATGGAGGGCCGTGTAGCCGATCTCGTCCTTCACTCCTAATAGGTCGTCGGGCATTGTGTCGACTAGGTTTTGGGCGCAATCGAGGGCCTTGCTCGTGCCCCACGGCTGTGTGGAAGGAAGTCTCCAAGGTGAAGCCTATCCGAGACGTGGTGGCGTGTGGGTTCACGTTGATGATTTGTTTGACCCGCTCCCAGTCGTCCATAAGCGTAGCTCCGTACAGCGGCAGGTTCTCACGCTACTCGTGCTCGGTGGCTACTCGTACAGCGGCAGGTTCTCACGCTACTCGGTGGCTTTCGATAAATCAAAAATTCCATAAATTAAAAGCAAGTGTGGTTTATCTCGCTAGTGATTACTCAAATTTAGAATGAACAAAAAAAAAAAAAAAAAAATCCATTGTTTCATTTGCTAAAAATACATAAAGTGTCAAAGCCCTCTTTTTAATTGAAGAAGGGTGGGTGGCTTGGGGCGTAGCCAGAAAAATAAAATACTCTGGGCTAGTTAAGTTATGCGGTAGAATTTAGAAATGAAAAATATAAAGCAAATTTAATTAACAAAATTCATATAAAATGATTCATGTTTATTACAACTAATCAAAAAGGTAAAAAAAATGCTACCTATTTAAGACATGTCCTCTGATTCTTCATAATATAAAAATCGACAATTATTGAACGTGTGTCGATCTTCGAAGTAAACTTTCTCTCGGTGTAGACAACCATAAAATCCGCTAAGAAGTCTTCTTCCATCTTATTTCGAAGAAGAGTTTTGAAAAATTTCATAGCTGAAAATGACTGCTCAGTTGCTGCAGTAGAAAATGGAAGCGTCGAAATGAGGCGAATCAATCTGCAATTAAATGGTAATGTCTTGCCTTCTCCATCTCTACTAACCGTCGACATAAATAAGAAATGGTATAAATGTTTTGAAACCTCTCATGCTGGACAAATAAAAACCACAAATAAAAATTTAATGTGATTACAATTCAATGGTGATTAAAAAAGTAAAATAAGAGATCAATTATACCTATGTTGTTACACAATGTGTGTTCTGAATTACAACGGGACCTATGAACTGACTGAAATGTTCAGTTCGTACAAGAAGAACTAAAAGAAGAAATGAAAGATACAACTCGAATGCGG